TCCCAGACTCCGCTTACGCCCAATAACCCGGCGTCTTCCCTTATCCCACAGACTCCTCTCCTTACGCGCAGCGGTCGTCATGTCCGTTTTCCCCACCGTTACGAACTTGTACAATATGCATAACACTCCTACCTTTTCCTTCTATTAGCAATATTTTTTTGAACTCCGGTCTCCTAGGAGGGGGAGTATTGTAGTGGCATTTAAGTCCGTTTTGTTTTCATCAGTTACAATACGTTTTTGAAGAACTTGGCACAACTTTGAATGAGACAAAGAACAAACACGTGCATTTTTGCCTGCTGACGACTTTGTTCTTATTTACTAGTTTGTAACTGTTGGGATACTGCTACCTTCGTTTTCCGGATAGCCAACTCACTGTGCCCAACTAACGAGTTTATCACTTACACACGCATCAGTGTAGATGCAACCCACTTCACAGGAGTAGAGAAAATCGCGAATAATGAGAGTATGATTTCAAGAGACATCAAGATCGACGACAAGATCGAAAGTCGAACATTCCAAGTCAGTCAAGTCTTCGACTGGCTAAGGCACTCCGCCTGGAACCGCCACAGCATCCTACTCAACACAGAGCTAAGGGTGCGCAGGGCCGTCGTACTGACGAAACCCTTGTACGGGGCGGAAATGTGGACTGTTTATGAAGGCCGAGCAATAAGTTTCAACCCTCTTCACCCCAACTGCCTCCGAAGGACACTGAAGGTGAAGTGGCAGGAGGCTCCCAGACACTGAGATCTGGAAATGAACCGGCGTCCTCAGCACCCACGTCATGCCGGGACAGACACAACTGCGATGAGGCCGCCACGTCGTGAGGATGGACGACAAGCGCCCGCCCAAACGGCTATTCCACGGATACGTAACTGTTGTCGATCGTGGACAAGGTGGACAAAAGCATCACTACAAGGACGCCCTGAAGACCTCATTAAACAAATGCAAGTCAGCCTAGAAACCTGGGAGGATCTTGCTCAGGATCGGCCGGCATGGTGCACTGCTGTAAAGACTGGAGCAGCCGCCTTCGAAGCTAACTGCATGACCGCTTCCAAGGCAAAGGGAGAGATCCACATATCCCAAGCATTGCGGCCCAACAATGCAACCACCCAGCCCTTCCTTTTGTGTTCACGCTATCAGTGGACTCTGGGGCGCAGATCGACCTCGCTGGATATCTGTGAACACAGCGCAATGTCACCGCGACCAACCCACCTCTCATCTCAGGCCACACCACCGCTAGCAACACTAATGAGGGCACTCCCACTGATCTACGAAAAATTACCACTACTGTCCTTACCACCGACAATATGAAGTCAGTCACAACCTGTCACCATTGCAATCGCACTTGCTCGTCACGCATAGGCCCAATCTGTCAGCTGTGAACCTAGCACCAAGCCGGTGAATCAGTACTGTGGATCCGTCACACGCCTCATTTGCTTACAATGCTCCAGCACGTTCAGACACCTCATGGGTCCAGTTGGTCATCTGAGTATCCACAACAGTGGAATTCACCGTGATGCCATTGTGACATACCTACCTCCTACACCTGGAAACTCCTCTACCATTAGTAATACCAGCTTTGCCACCGCCACGACTCCGTGCTCGCTGGCCACCATTCCATCCTGTCCCTACAGTCAGAGCACACTTGTGTCACACACCAGCCTGACTGGGCACTTGCGCATCCATCTCACTGGTACTGTCGCATCAGTGCCAGGAGTCCTAATATAAAGCCACCACCGCTTCGCCTGCACACACTACGCAACGATACTGCGCCGCTGCATTGGCCTATTCGGCCATATATGCCTTTCTGAACACCTACGGTAAAACACCATAGATCTTACCTCATCACTGCACCTCGCCCAATCAGCCCATACACCACACACGAATCCGCCTCACAACACCCGAAAACGGACAAAATATGCGTCTCCAACGTTCGCATTTTACTTACTATAAACAATCTGACGTGCTTGAAGCTATCACGATGCGCTAGAGTCCATGGCTTGGAAGGTTGCCAGCTGACGGAATAACTTGGACCTCGCAGTGGGCCCAGTGTTGTGTGTTTGTGTGGAGTGGCCGGCTGGTGGTCTACAAATCAGACTGCAATGGCTCCTTCTTAATGTGGCCTTTATAGCACTCCCACTCCGTGGGATCCGAGTTGGGTGTGACGGCAGGCCTTGGTACGGCTTCGGCGTGCCAGCCTCCATTGTTTTGTTGTTGTTGGTTACAATTCTGGTCAAGTGTGTGCTGTGGACCAGGGAGTGTGTTGGCGCGCCTAGGCGCGGAACCGGCCGTGCCAGCCACCTGCACCCTCGCCTGCCTCCGGTCTTCTTGGCTCTGTCTTGACATGGGGTCCAGGTGGGGAGAAGGTGCGGTAGATGCTGCGCAAGTCTACTATCACTTTAAGTTAATTCAGGCGCAAGTCACTGTGTCTGCTGCACCTTGCTGTGTAGCACGCGGTGGACATCGTCGAAACCGAAGGTCGAATTGTCATTTGACAAGACGCCGCGCCTGGCCATATCGTGTGTGGCACACGTAACTGGACTAATGTAACCCTGTCAATCACTGCACCCAAATCCAGAGCCAGATAACTAATTGGCTAGGACAGTGGACTGGCGCATGGGAGATGAAAGATGGCGTAGGGTCGGTACTGAGAAATCCATCCTCACGGCACTTCAGCACATTCCTCGCTATGATAAATCTGACGCGCTTTCAAATTATGAAGATGCGCGAAAAGTTGCGACTTAAAGTTCTACCAGTTGGCTGGATAATTCGGTCCTTGTGAGCAGTACTGTGCGTATGTGGGGTGATTGGCTCCAGGACTGGGAGTCAGGCTCAGTGGCACCTTCATAAATGTCAGATCCGAGTTTCTCTTACTTCTATGAAAACCTAGTACATTGAACAGAGTCCAGGTCGTGTGTGGCGCACGTAAGCAGGTCGTTCAGCGTTCTCAGCCACCGCGTTCAAGCCCACCTCTAGTCATCTTGACATTGTGTTTCCGTCTGAGCTTGGTGGGCGGGTGAGGGAGAAGTGCAATAGATGATATGCAAGCCTGCCTCAACATAAACCAACTGACGCGCACGGGTCTTCCAAAACTGTTTTAACTGTCCAGAAAAACGTTTAGGTGACTCAGAGGCCAGCTATGGTTATATTCTAGGGCAGAGACTACGTGGCCAGTGGGGGCGCGGACACAGCAGTGGAGACCAAATTGTCGATTGGAATCTAACCAACCGTAATGCTGACGACCTAAATCAGGAGCCACGTCCCAAAGCACGAATCGATGCATTCGAGTCCAGGTGCCACATAAGAGCTCAGGAACGGTCACAGATGAAACAGAAATGGACAAGCACACCTAGTGGCAACAACAGCGGATATAGCAATCAGGTTAAGCAGACCGGCCCTGTGGGTACAGGTGAATTTCGTGAGGACCCCTCATTCCTACGGCCAGGTGTCAATTCACCGACCGCATACATGCGGAGTGGGCCGTCATGCGTCCCAGACTTTTCACAACTCCGTATTGGCTTTGCCTCTCTTTGTCTCCCTCTGTTGGCTTTGCCCTTAAATTCTCGGACTGTTCCTTGTTTAGGTAATGGCACAATGCCTCACGGTGCAATTTGGTTGGCATGCTACGAATTATTGAAACTGTACGTCCGTTCTCCGATCCTCTTTCTGAAATGTGTAACAGGCATGCTGTCTGGATGTATAAACTTGGGTGACAATAAGGCTTTGGCCATATTACATTGGATCTCCTTATGGCGAATCATTGCGTGTTGATTATGTGAGAACATATACAATACTTGGAGTAACCAAACTGTACCTGTTTTTTATCTGGAACCTTTTAGGCAAGTGATCCATGGGTATTTTGCAATAGTAGACTATACTGGGAGAAAGATAAGCCTACCCCAAGCACTCCTGAGACGCTTTTATTGGGGTACCATCTTCTCCCAACTAATCCGATATTTCCGCCGCCCTTGCAAATGGGGAATGCCTCTGTCCCGGGGATAGAGCAGTGACCTGTGCACGAATCGGTTTGCAGTGCGAGACCATCGTAACATCGAACTGCGCACTTGGAATTAGTGACACCTTGCTCCGCCTTCCCTTCCACGCTAGGTTTTCTATTTACTCGCACCACTTTCTCAACACATAAGTGACATGCCAAAAAAGTGGGATAACGTTGTCTGATGCACGCGTCCCCATAGCCGGTGAGGCACGTTTAGATTGCCCTCTGCTTACCTCGTCAGATGCATCCATTCATGCGCCTAGATCCACGCACTGGAATGTTCTCCGCGCGAGACAAGTGCTGCGAAGTCTTCAAAAGGACGCCAGTTCACCTGGTCCCCCAAGCTCTCTAATCAGCCGCACATTGACGTAAAACAGCCGTTATATAGTTAAGGACAGTACGGCCGGTGCATGTGCCCGGCGGAATAATTCCAGGCAGCGACCAATAGGTTGGGCAGGACGTCGGAGAAAAGTACTAACAAGAATTGCGACGAGCCTTTGGAATTTACAAGGCTAGGCATAGATATCAGGACCTGGCTTCAGGCCCGGCCACGTTAAATCTCAATTACGCAAATATACATATGTGAAGCACTAAAATCAGTTAGAACTCCAGAACCCCAAGACTGGATGCAGACCTGGAGCCACGGAAGTCCATTTCTCCTTCTCCAAGCCAATTCCAAGATCTGCCTGAAGGTTGGCCCGACTTTGACTTACAACAGCTCCAGTGAGCCCTTGCTCAGTCTAACTTGGGTGGGATGGGAGGGATGATAGAACCAGTTGGACGATTTCCCGAGACGATACCTTTGGAATTTACATGCGAGGCAAGTGCGCACCAGAGATAATGGCCCGAACAGTGCAGGATGGCCGGGTGCAGCCGCATCCGACGTAGGATGGTAAACGCAAAAAAGTCAAGTGGTTGCGGGAACCGTTTTTACTAGTCAATTCTAAAGTGAGACATCCTTACGGAGAAGCTAAAAACTGCAACAAGGGTACAACACACCGAATCAACATTGGAAAACATAAACGGAGTCCACGGGTGCTTCTAGGTATACAACGTTAGAGGAGAGTTCCTTCTTAAGCTCCATCAAACTGGACGGCGGTTGTGTAAAGATGGGCACGAGTTTCTCACAAACTGGAGAAAAGTCGATTACCGCCGTCACATTAGACTTGGATAAGACAACCGTCACGACGGACGGAAAACCCTCAGCAGCGCGCTTGAATATCTCAACGTGTTTGGGCTGCAGATAAAGAAAAGCATGTGTAAGGCTGACAATCAAGTTGTTAGCATGCAGAGCAAGTGAAGACCTGACGCTCACCTTAGCCACGGAAATGTCGTCTGTCACACGACCCCACTGCAAACTGGGGTATTCTTTGCGCAGACGCAAGAGAGACGTCGTCAGACTGAAAGTGTTGGGACCCCGATTGGCAGCCAGGACAGCCTAGTTTATAAAACGTCGTATAAAATGCGCAAACAGATAAACAGCGAATGAGGATGAAGAGATACTGACCTCCACGGTCTCTGCTACGTGACTGTCAGACAAGTACTGTTCAAAGTACATAGAGACTGAAGAATTGGCTGAAAATCCTTTTCCAGAGGAGTCCCACGGCATCGGTAGCGAGCTGCCTATCGTGGAATCTGTTCCATTGTTTGGTTGAGGAGGAATCCCGAAAGGATAAAAAACGTCCGGTGGTAAAGCCGAATTTGAAGGGGTTATTCCGAGCTCTGATCCATAATATATGATAGGCGTGCCTGCAAAACAACAACCAAAGAATCCGATTAGAGACTGAAAATGTAAACTGACTAACAACCCTATTGGGACGGCTCGAGCAAAAGAATACTATTTGTTGGCATGTCAGTGGACTGCAGAGATGACTCACCGGGTAAAAGGAAAGTCGCTACGGTAGACATTAGGTCAAAGGACGGTGTGATTGAAGGAGAAGCAGTCGCAAGGGCGACGGTAACGTTGGTTGAGTTCATCATTTTTATGTACGATCCGATAGATGTATCCGTTAGCGGCGAATTCTGTGTAAGCAATTTCCTATTTGGAATAGTCGCAACATCAACGAAGGCTGACACTTACCATCCTCGATTTAGGGTGAAGTAACGGTTGATTACCATATGCGCGCCAGGTCGCTCTCCGGTTCCCGCCAAAAACAGGGAGTCATCGTGAGATCGAACGCCATACCCAGTGTTTCCAGCATCAGCAATTAACACCCTAAGAAACATTTGTATGCACAAAAACAACCTACTTTGGGCGTCCGAACGATGCAGAGAACTCGTCAACTACTTTACGCAGCTCGTTCACGACGTCGAGTGTTCCATTTGTAAACAGCTTGCATGAAGGGAATTTCGAATACCACCAATCAGTTGATGCGGCACATGCCGCGCTGTCTTCTACGAAGAACGCAGCGTCAGATAGCAAAATCCCGTCAACTCCTTTACCCAGCCAGAATTTGACCACATCCTGAGGAAGTTAAGGGGATATTGGACTGTACCTTCACGGCCTCCAACACATCAGAAGAAGCAAGATTTAGGTCAACCATTCCGGAACCCTTTCCATAGGTAGAGTAGAACGTATTTCTCCCGATGTTCTCCAAAGACCCGTTCAAGGTTCTTGAGGGCTACGAAAATGACTGTATTGTAAGAACTTACGTTCATGGAAGAGGTTTGTGGGATCAGGAAGCCGGGTCGGCTAGCCCACTCATGATTCGTCGGAATCCCATTGAAATCCAAAGAAATGACTGTCTCTATACCTCTCTTCTTGAAGGTTCGGAGCAGTGATGTAAAGTCCTTCATGGTTCCAAGGGTAGGATGAATTGATTCGTAATTCGGTCGAAATGCCGGCAAGTGCTTAGGATACCATGGCATTAACGGAGTTAAGATCACGAACCCCGCACCAACGCGATCGGCGATGTAATCCGCTGCCTCGGAAAGACCTGTAAGAGGCCAAGATTTTAAAGTCCTACTGAGCCGAGTGCAATTTTAAAGGGCATCAACAAATAAGCATATATACTTCTAGCATGCCAAATGCACAAGCGTGGAAAATACCGTTAAGGTCACCGACCAGATCACCGTCAGAATCCTTGAATGTGAAAGGGTTTAACCAGTATGCAACCTTCGATTGCCAGAACTGCAATGTAGGCCGAGGCGGGCATTTGGGTGAGAACACGATAATCAAAACAGATGCGACGAGAAGAAGGATCCAAATGATCCAGAAGAGAGCAATTAAAGCGATACGTATACGACGCCAGACGGGTTGCTCCCTGTCCAGTCTTATCAAATCATCCTTTGTGAGTAGACGACACTCATCAGAAGCTACAAGGGCCGAGCCGTTTTTCAAACTATCTTTTTTAGGGAGAAAAGTTACGTCCTCTCCCAGGACCCTATCACCAGACCCGGGAGCACTCTCTGACTCGACGATGCAATCACCCATGACCAGACTGCCGCCAGCGAGCAAGGAAGGCAAAGGTACGTCGGGCGCACTTAAACAATCGTAGGCTCGGGTAATAGGTCGGGATCAAGCCTAAAAAAGCCTGCACACTATTTCCAACTATCCTGCATTGATCGGTTGCTTTTCCATGTGGTGCTTTCTGGTTGTGGTACGCACCTGAAGCACAACAGTGTTCGACGACGATCTGGGAGGAAACGAATCAATGGCAATGGAGCCGAGCAAAGAGACGCACTGCAACAAATAAAAAGGTGTAGGTTTACTCACGTTATCGATTTTTCACTCTAAACTTTCTTGTACACCTCAGCATTTCTGTACTATCGTTAAAATTAACAAAATACACACACTTGGTTTCGACTTGTGAAAAAGCGTGACTTTCGTGTTCTGGTTTCGAGTGTGCTTGACGTCGTTATTTCTTGGCCTTCACTTGTAACCTCTCAGCATTCTTAGCAATTTGTATGAACTGACGGAGACTCCCTCCTCACAAGCCTACTTCGCCATATCATCGCGGAACCGACTGCCTCTATTCAGCCGGTTCCTCATCGGAATACTATCTCGCTACTTGAGAGGATTCTACTTTGCGTGAGTCTGGAACATTCCTTTTCTGATTTTTCGAATCTGTACATTCTTTCTTTTTGTTGGCAAACACAATTCCCCCATTTAGAGTCAGTTTTTCGTGCATATATTACTGTTTGCAGTTTTTAAGTCCACGTTTCCACTACAAAGGTATCTAACAGACAGTAGTCGACAGTAGTAATAAAAACTTAAATAAAAGGTGTGTTAACAATAACGATCGGTTCCTGGCTTACTTCTGGGTCTGCCACTCTTCAAAGATTGGATTTCTGAACATTGGAGACCGCCAATGATTTCCTTATACTGTGTAGACGGACAAGTACTATGACTGTCTCATGACCTTGAACGCTGTAGAGCCTCCTGCAGGCTGGACTTACGGCCCTGTCAACGGCCTTTATTTCTAATCGGACACCCGAAGCAAATGAAGTCAAAGTGCAGTTGAAATTGACGAGTTTGTTTTAGGTTTTTTTCCTGAGTTCAAAGGGGACTGACAGTGCCCAAGGGGCGCTACAATAAACCTATTCTAAAAGAACCGACGATATTTAACAGTACGTGCCAGAGGAAGAAATGAAAAGACCTCACGGTGACTATTACGTCGTGGGTGGATATGATGTCCTAAGGAGGTGAGTGGGTTAAATGTGTGATTATATAAGAGTTTAAGGAGCAAAAATAGTCCCTATGTAGTCTACGGAACCATAAAGGATCAAGGCCCGTAAGCCGGCAACGTTCTTGGTAAGACAAATGCCGGTGTTCTGGGGTTAAAATCCTCTTGGTAAAAAAGTGTTGAACGGATTCTATTTTCTTCCGCTCAGTGGCACGCATGACGCTAAATAAAAACGAACAGTATTCCAGACCAGGTCTAACGTACATGTTGAAAAGGCGCATTCTAATTTCCCTAGTTTTAAAGTTTCGGAGGATAAACCCGGTCGTTCTACGTGCTTTGGAGACTATCAAGGCACAGTGCTCC